CGCCTTACAGCAAACCCAGCTCGTCGGTAGGGTACAAAACGGGGTCCTTGATGGCCTGGCTGTGTGGAGTTACAGGCAGGGTGCTAGTCGTCGAGATGGGTTTGCTGTAAGGCGAGATTGGCGGTGACATGGGCAGCGGTTGCTGCGACGATGACTGTTTGCCATTGGCACCGCCTGACTTGTTCAATACGGAATTGCCATGATGAAAGCTGTCGAGCACGACGTCGGGCGGTGACATGAGGCTGGTAATGTCGAATTTCTTGGACTCCATTGGCGGGGGGGGGGGGGGCGCTGGCGGGGGGGGGGTGTGGGGGGGGGGGGGGGAAAAAAAAAAAAAAAAAAAAAAATAAGAGTCGGGTCCGGAAAAAAAGTTGTCATGGTGTGGCAGAATGCGTCGGCTGTGGCTTGTTTTGTCATAAGGGGTCCTGGTAGCTCAAAAGCTTTGCCCATGACGACGACGTCGTGTCACGTCTTTCACATTGACAGACCCCGCACTAGCATCAACGGAGAACCAGTCAGTCATGGAGTTTGGTTGTTGAGCTCATGTTCTAAAATGACATCTGGGCATTTGAGCTCGAGAGGGGCGGGACAAAAGGGAAGGTGGGGTAGCTGGTACTACTCTGATGTCAGAATCGCGGGGGCGGGACTGTGACTAGGCCTGGATGAAGCTTTCTGCGCGGGAGCTGAAGATGCAGACATGCAATGTTGTGCCTGTCGTTGTTCTGCATACTCACATGTCTCGGAACACATTGGAAAGCGCACGGCGCACGGCGCACGGCTCGCAGCTCGCAGCTCACATTACAAAGCGCAAATGTGTATGCCCATCCTGAGTTCGGCTATCGCTGCCGGGCAGCCGTTTGTGCCTGTTGCTGCGAGCATGGGTGATGATGGGCGATGATGGGTGATGATGGGTGATGACGGGCAAACATGATGGATCAGGTCTGGTCTGGTTGGTTGCCGGGGGACCCGGGGCAGCTCAGAGCCCTCAAGTGCTATGACTCAGCCCGTGCTGCCTCGTGGGCTGGCCATCAATAGTGGTCCAGACATTTGAACTGGTCCGATACCGCGGCGCACATATCTTCAACGACGCTCGGGACCGGACGGAAATAAAGCCGAGTGCCTCGCGGGTATCATGCAGCTTTGGTATTTTTGTTTCATTCTTGTTGGGTCCTGTTCTTTTTTTTATTCTTTCCTGTCAACGTTGTTTGTTTGTATTGTATTTTAGATGTAACGTTTTCCTGGGCGTTAGACAAAATTACTTTTTTTTTCTCTTTTTATATGGGGAGTGTCTTGTAAGTGGCAGTAGTTCTAGGCTTGAATGAATGTTGGTCGACTTGCAACGGTTTAGTCCGGCAATACAATGCGGGCGAGGAATGCCGTTGTTCCAACGACGAATACCCATTGTTACCGATTACTCAGGATACCATTCCGTATCTCGGCCTTGACATGTCACCTGCTCGTCCTCCTCTCGTCCACCTCCCTCTACACACCACAACGTCGCACACGGCCTTGATCACCATCACCACCATCATCACCACCACCAACATCATCATCACCACCACCACCACCACCACCATCACTACACGCCACCACACACCACCACTACCGCCGCCATGAAGCTCTACCCGTCCCTGCCCGCCGACCTAGCAGCCTGGGCGCAGCGCCAGCCCGTCTTCTTCACCGGCTCGGCCGGCAAGCACGCCAGGCACATCAACGTGTCCCCCAAGGGCATGACGGACACGCACTTTGCCGTGCTGTCGCCCACGCGCTGCGCCTACATCGACCGCACCGGGTCCGGGTGCGAGACGATTGCGCACGCCTACGAGAACGGCCGCCTGTGCCTCATGTTCGTGTCCTTTGGCGACGCGCCGCGCATCATGCGGCTCTTCTGCGCGGCCCGCGTCGTCGAGTACGACCACCGCGGCTTCCAGGGCCTCGTGCGCGCCGTGGCCCGGGGGCGGCGCTCCGCCTTTGACGGGGCCCGCGCCGTCATCGTCGCCGACATATGGGAGGTCCAGACGTCGTGCGGCTTCGGCGTGCCCCGTGTCAAGAGGGGGCTGTACGCGCCCGGCGAGGGGGGGGACCGCCGCCCCCCGGCCGACGAGCTGCTGCGGCAGGGCTACGACGCCGGGGCCGAGGCCAGGCTGGACGAGCTGTGCGTCTTTGAGGCGAGGCCGGCCATGGACTACTGGGCTGGCAAGCAGGCCGAGGGCAACACCATGAGGGACTACCAGAGGAGGCACAACGTGGATAGCATTGACGGCCTGCCGGGCCTGAGGGCCAGCAGGAGGGATGCCGGCGAGGTGCTGTGGCTGAGGGACGCGAGGGCGTGGGCTGCGAGGGTGGCGAGGGACTGGGAGGCCATGGCCGTTGGCTTCGTCGCCGCCGTCTTGATGTATTTGTTTGTCCGGGGAATCGGGGCCTTGACAGCTGACTAGGTTGGTGAGTGTGATGGTGGATGTGGCGGTATCTTTGTGGTTGAGGGACCGGTCTGCCGACGGGAGGGCGGTGAAGAGTCTCTTTTTGGTGTGACTTGTGTTTCGCCGTTGGTTTCAACACCTCGAGTGCTATTTGGTAAGATGTGGCCTTTGCGAGGTGACTTGTCGTTGGGGGGTTGACCCATCCAGACGACCTCACTGTGCTGGAGGAGCAAACTCTTGGGCAAGTTGCCTCAGTTGTGATAACACGAGACGGTCAATTGGACAATTATTCTCTCGTTGGATGCTGATATTCGCTGGACATTGTCTCGGCACGGGCGGCTGGGTAGCAACGCGTCGTCATGGCAGCATATACCTGAGCCCCTTGCCACGCTGTCCGCTCGACTTTTACGGTTCTACAGCATTTCCGCAGACGTCAACTTCTTGCCGGCATACATGCTATTGGAGAAGACGCGTGTGTACCGCCTGCAGATGTACTATCCATGGGCTTTGATATATCTCAAGGATTAATGGTTATAATTACATACGGAGCTATCCGACGAATATATACAAAATCGAAAAGAGGAAAACAAAAATTACCCCCCAGCCAAATACTTTCCACGACCGCGCCGCTTCCAAAGAAAAGACCGGAACCACACAAGCAGGGCAGAAAAGCCGCAAAACACCACGGCAGCTCACTGCCCCGGCCGCCATCCCTCCAGGACGTCAACGTCGTCAAAGAGCGCCGACTGACCGACGGGCGTGGAAAATATCTGCGCAAACCCGTGCCCCGCGCCCTTGGCAAGAGCCAGTCGCAAGCCCACGCGGTTATTCGACACTTGGCCCCAGTCCGGGAGGTCGGTGAAGGCGCCCGGAAAGGCCGTCAGGTTCTCCCCCGTGCGGGCCAGTTCGTGGACATAGCGATACCAGATGAGGTTCCTGTCCCTCCGCTTGTGGCCGCCCTGCAGGACGGCCTGGCAGGCCTGGTCGCCGCTGCAGGGGTTCGTGTCCTTGTATCCCACCGTGGCCACGACGTCGCGGGAGGTGTACCGGCGGAAGTAGTCGACGGGGGCCAAGGTTCCCGCCGCCGTGCCGGGGAAGCCGTCGAAGCCAAAGGGCCAGAGGTTGCACTTGGCGCAGGACCTCGCGGGGGGCAGGGCCTCGCCCTGGACCGAGGGACGGTTGTCGGTGAAGTAGGAGCATGTGGCGGGATTGTTCTGGACGTACCGCACATGGGCGCGGCACGAGGCGCTGTCCCTGGCGAGGGCCGCGTACCGCTGCACCAGCTGCCCGCCCGCGCTCTGCCCGACAAAGGTGATGTTGGTCAGCACGGGGTACCTGGCCGAGCAGGCGAACTCCTCGGCGAGCGCCTCGAGGGCGTCAATGGACGTCGCGTTGCTCCCATAGGGGTAGTTGGCCGCGCCGCCGGCGATCCAGGCCCTGGGGTCGGACCACGAGAGATGGCCGTCGCCGTGCAGGCCGGGCGTGTACCGGTCGGTGAAGAGCAGCGGCGCCACGCTGATGGTCTTGCGGCCTGTCTTGCCGGAGCGTGCCGCGTAGAGGTCCGTGGCGTTCTGCAGCCTGTGCCAGTATTGGCCCGCGTTGCTCAGCTTCCCGGCGACGACGATGACGGCGTGCTCGACGGTTGCGGCGTCCACCGTCTCCGGCATGAAGACGGCCAGTTTGCCGGTGTTGCCGACGCGGATGGAGGCCAGCCGCGAGCCAGGAGGCCGGTAGATGCATGTTTGGGGCTACGGAAATAGAGAGCGTGAGGAAAGAAGAATCTCTTTGGTCTGGAGCGCGGGGAAGAACCAACGTTGCTCTGCTTCCTGTCGTCGCAGTTTCTGCGTGGAGCGATGAGACGCTCAGGAGGAGGGATGTAGTCGTATCCTTGGGCGCCGGCCTCGTCACAGAACTTGAATGTCGTCGCCGCGTGACACATGCCGAGGAAACCGACGATGACTGCAACTGCAATTCGTGCCGCGCCACTCAGTCGCGCCATTTTTTTTTTTCTTTTCTCTCGTTTTATTCCTACTTCAGCAGAGGAGAAAGCTCAACCACTGCGGATTAAAAATAAAAGCAGATAGCACCAGACTATATCTGGCCGTTTGGCCCTTGGCATCGGCTTTTTAACTTTGCCCAAGGCGCGGGCCATGCTATCATTCCGAGAACGAACCGTCATGTTTTGTTTCACTTTTTTGCCCTGGGGACTATTATCAACGACGGCTAGAATTGCATGGCATGTTTTCAATTTAGCCTAGTAGAGAAGCAATTTAACCACTGGCCGCACCCGCATCCCGTGCTCTTTTACGTGAAGTGGTGATGCGTGTCCGTTATGCTCGCAGGATAGCCGTAACGTATATTTGGTGTGGCCGCCTATCCATCATGACGGCGTGTATGAACGACGACGTGTATTAGAACATTCCGCGGAGAGGGCATAGTAGCGGCAATCATCTGCACGCTGGCAAGACTGTTCTTTGTTGCGTGCAAGTGTGCCTCTTGTCGCGGCATTCCTCAGGCGCGACTAGCATACCGGCGCCGAGCATCAGCACCGACAACAATGGACGCGCTCTTTGGAGAGTACTAATCAGTAACTGCTGTTATTTGTTAGTATTTTGCCTTTTTTGCACATGCGACACCGGAGCAGTCGGACACCGAGTGTCAGCAGTCCCTAATTGAGAGGAGCTACCAAGACAGACACCGATTTTCTTTCATCTTCATTTTTATTTTTTGTACTTGGACCGCTTTAACGCAATAACTTCTGGCACAGAGTCTACCAACACTGTCGCGCCGTTCACCCAGACTCACTCTGCCATGTTGAATTTCTTTGTGCAGCGTTGGTTGGATATGTGGCGTCGCTAGGCTGCATCTCTCGGCTCTGGCAAGATTCACGGTGATTCCAAATCCGTAGAATCGACGATTCGCAAAGGGTGTTGAATCAGTGAACACAGTGGACAGCTTGACGAGTTCTCGCAAGGTACAGACGCGTGGCTTCATATTCACCGTCATGGCACGCACAGCTTTGGGTACCAACCACTACACAGCACAACAATTTCACTCAAAGACACTGCGCCTAGTCATTCATATGGGTCTATATAACCCCCCCCCCCGTAAAAGTCCGATTGAAGCGAACCCCCCCTCTTACAAAGTATCACTCAGTAACGAGCAATTCTCTCATTCATGTGATTTCATCCCTACTGATGTGCTTGGGCATTGTGCTCCGAGCACTAGCTTGGGGTGAATGCGCTGTCCGTCCAACTCCAACTACCAACTGTCGTGTCAGATGTCGTACTTGTGCGGCATGTCTGTTTCCTCTGTGCCTCGTCTGGCACGTTTGGATGCTTGGCGAGCATATTGTAATGCTGCACATGGCCCACCCAATTAAGGATGCTGTGTTGAATCAAATTATCACTGTATGCCCTTCTTATGGCATTTGTATCGTCATCCCCCGGTGCTTCCCAGGGTAGGACCTGCAGTTGCCTGACCATTTGCTGTGCCGGCGGCAGCTTTACCGCCGCCGCGTCCACGTCGACCTCGACCGCCAGACGGTTTCTCCTTCTCCTTCTCTCCATTTGGCGTTTGGCCATCCTTTGCTGAGGCGCCTGGCGCAGCAGCAGCAGCGAGCTTCTTATCCTTCCGCTCGACCACCTGTACGTTGCCTTGGCCAACCTGAACAGGGCTGGCAGCCACAGCCTTGACTAGGGCTTCGTGTTCAGAAAAGTCGACGTAAGCAAAGCCCTTGCGCTTATCAATCTCAACAAGTTTTATGGTTCCGAATGCGCCGAGAGCCTCTCGAAGCTTTGCGTCGTTCACTCCCTGCGAGGCATTGACGTGCTTAATAAAGGCGCGGGTTGCGTTTGCCGAGACAGCGGGTGACTTCTTTTGCGGGGCTGGCTTGCTGTTAGCTTTCTCTTTGGCAGCTTGTCTAACATTGCCATTCGAGTTCATCGCTGGTCCAGACGCCTGGACCTGGGATTCAGCAGTTTTCTGGTTGAGTTCGGGGTCGTTCTTCTTCCTCAGGATAACCGGAGGGTTGGCTGCAGTCGGTTGTGGAACCGAAGTCTCGTTAGCAGCTGATTTACCCTTCTCAGCACCGCCTTTGCCACCACGATTTCTCCGTCCAGGCTGTGATTTTGAGGCGACTGGGCTATCGGGACGATTTTTCGGCGCCTGGACTACGACCTCGGCAGGGGATGCTGCTGATACAGTAGAACTGGCAGAATTAGCAACGTCTGCGGGTGTACCGTTTTCGTCCTTGGTCGAAGAGCTTGCTGCCTTGGCATCAGCCTCGGCCTTGGCAGCATCGTGACGTGCTCTTCTATGTGCGCTGCCAGGGCTGAGGCCAAGATCGCGCTGCAGTATTCTAGCGGCGGCAGCGATTCCAGCACGTCGGCTTTTGGGCGCATCAGTAGCCGCTGCAGTTGTAGTAGCAGCGGCATTGGCTGTCGTAATTTGGCTGGCCGCCTTCTTCGCCCCCTCCGCGGCTTGCTCAGTTGCTGCTTTCTTAGTAAGAATCTTGACATTCTCTTTGGGCGTCTTGTCCTGCTTCTCGGTTCTCGACTCCTTGCCCTTCTTCCTACCGGAAGAGTCATCGTCCTTGGCGCCACTCTTTCCTTTTGCAGACTTGGAATTTTTGCCTGATCCATCCTTGCCTCTGTTGGCCTTCTTCTCCTTCAAGAACTCGACGAGAGGTGTGGTGGTAACTTTGACCTCTACTTTGGCAGACTCGTCGGCATCCTCGACATCGATGCTGTCTCTCATCGGTGCAGGGTTAGCCAGGCCTTCAAGGAAGGCCATGAATTCAGGATCTTGATCAATGGTGCCTTGTCGAGCATCCGTGCGCTTCTTGGTGCCTGGAACCTTTTTGTAAATTGAAAACTCCAACACGGGCGGGCCAATCAATGACGGATTCGTGAATGTTGATTTTGCATCCTCCCATGTCGCGTTCCTTACAACGTCGCTGAGGGGCATGATGTCATCCTTCCGCACCAAATGAACGTACGCCCGACCGGGACGAGAAGGCTTTGAGGGGCTTGGTTGATGAGGGTCAGTATCACGAAAGACAAAGAATCAAAGACTTTGGGCTTGACATACTCGATGGAAATCTTTCCAGGAACGTAGGAGAACCAATCGACTTTGCCCTTGGAGATCTCCCACTCTGGTCCGAGAATAGAAATACATTCCTCCTTGGTCATACCTGGTGGCAGACGACGAATCACCAGTTTTTCTCCTTCGTTCTGAGGTTTGGATCGCGGAGCCTTTGGCGTCACCTCCCCATCATTCGCACTCTAAGCCAAGTTAGATTTTCATTCGATTTTGAAGGGGGTTCATATGTCCAGTATCCCTCGCAGCGAAAGGCTTACCTTGGATGCCCCTCCTCGTCTGTCAGCCGGTCCCTTGCCCTTGGCAGGTTTTAAGGCATTGCCGCCGGTGTCATTGTCTTTTGCCTGTTCAACTCCATGTCAGACTTCGGGCGTTTGATGTGTGGCGAGAGACTGGTCGCGACATACCTGTGATGCTCTCACTCGCTGTCTCACCTTGATCTGGTCAGACGGCTGGCTGGTTGCGCCGCTGGATGGTCCGTTTGCCTTCCGCGAAAGGACTTGCGGGGGCTGTGTGGACATGGCGCATTCTGGGTGCGGAGAGATTTAGGTTGACAGACGGCAATCGTGCAGAACAGCGTGGGCGATGGGTTCAAATATCTTGCAGAATACGAAATATCCAAAGCTCGCAAGCTAGAGAGCAAGTGAAGTCAAAAGGGCCTTGAGTTGTTACGGCCCTCGGAAGCCCCACAGATTGGTGGAGCTGCTTCTGCCCCAAGAGCTTTGGCTTCTGTGCTATTTGTTTCCGGTGCACGAAGGCAGGTCACGTGGATGGATATAGTTGGGAGTTGGCTTTGTGAGTAACACCTACTAGGTACCTAGGTAGGTAGACGTGGCTGGATTTAGATAGCTCTCGAAGTCATATCTTCTTGCGTGGAGAGACGATGAGGAGATTGATGGCAGCAGGCTTTAAATTCTCCAGTGAAGAGAAAAATTGCAGAGCATGGATGTGGTGGCATATGAGCTGCGCCCAACGCACGCAGAGCCTTTCCAGCGTGGGCTGCAAGGGGAGGAGCCGTAGATGCTCAGATAAGCACATTTGGCTGAACTCTCTCTGGCTGGTCAACAAGTGGCCCATGTCAACATTGAATTGGCATTTGGTTGTCGGCGCTGTAATCAGTTGGTTCTCCTCTCCCAAACCCACTGTGCCTGTGCTACCAGCTTAGCTTCCACAGGCGCTTTCCACTGTGACATCAGGCCCGAAGAAGATCCGATTATCGCTTCCCTGCTCCAGGCCCGATTACAACTTCGCGTTGCTCGAAACCACAGTCCGGACGGTTCATCCATCTGGTCCATCCTCCCCGTTACTACTGTGGCGGGCCGTGATAATCCTCCCGGCGGCCGCCATTACGACGAGGCCTGCGCACATCCAAATCCTCATAAAATATGACGACAAACGTCCCTCGGCCTGGCCCCGCCAACTTGGGCCCCAATGCCGGTCTAGACGAATGGCTCGAAGAGGCCAAACAATGCCACTACCTGCCCGAGAGGGCCATGAAGGAGTTGTGCGAGAAGGTCAAGGAGATCCTTATGGAAGGTAGGCACTGGCTCCGTCGTTGACCCAACGCGCGAGCCGCGCTGACTGGACGAACACAGAGTCCAATATTCAGCCCGTTTGCACACCTGTCACAGTTTGCGGAGATATCCACGGCCAGTTCTATGATCTGTTAGAGTTGTTCCGAGTGTCTGGGGGCATGCCGGGCGAGACCAATGTCCAGGCCCCCAAGACTGCGACCACTGTCATCACGTCCGACGATATCGAGCCGCCGAGCGAAATCACAAATCCAAAGCTCAGGAAGAAGCTGCGGTCCCCGGTAGGTGATGCTGGTGCGGGCGGTAACGAGGGCGAAGATGATGCCGACGTCGCGGGCTCTCGTCCGGGGTCCGCGCTGTCAGGTGCCAATGTCACCTCTGCTCAGAGCGCGGAGACTCGCTTTATCTTCCTGGGGGACTTTGTCGATAGAGGGTATTTTAGTTTGGAGACATTTACGTTGCTCATGTGCTTGAAGGCCAAGTAGGTACTATCTGCTTCAAATTAAGTGACCAGTCCACAGCTCACAGTTTTGAAATAGATACCCCGATCGAATTGTGCTTGTCCGAGGCAACCACGAATCTAGGCAAATCACGCAAGTCTACGGCTTTTATGAAGAGTGCCAGCAAAAATATGGCAACGCTTCTGTGTGGAAGGCCTGCTGCCACGTCTTTGACTTTCTTGTTCTTGCAGCTATTGTCGACGGCGAAGTTTTGTGTGTACACGGCGGGCTAAGTCCCGAAATTAGAACGATAGATCAAATCCGTGTTGTTGCTCGTGCCCAGGAGATTCCTCATGAAGGAGCATTTTGTGACCTGGTCTGGTCAGATCCTGAAGATGTTGAAACGTGGGCTATCAGCCCACGCGGCGCCGGCTGGCTCTTTGGCGACAAGGTCGCTACCGAATTCAATCATGTAAATGGATTGAAATTGATTGCGCGGGCTCACCAGCTTGTAAATGAAGGCTATAAGGTATGGCGCATTCGAACCGAGAATACTACTTGCTACGTATTGGGTGCTAACTAGGGGCAGTATCATTTTGCTGAAAGCTCTGTTGTGACGGTTTGGTCTGCGCCGAACTACTGTTACAGATGTGGCAATGTTGCCTCGATCATGACTGTAGATAAAGACTTGAACCCAAGATTCAGTATATTCTCGGCCGTGCCTGATGACCAGAGGCACGTTCCTGCGAGCAGGAGAGGACCGAGTGACTATTTCTTGTAATGCACGATGTTAGAGAGTGGTTGTGGAATAAGGGGCTGGGAGAAAGCTTTTAGATGTAAACTAGCATACGATTGAGATATCCATGACTTGTGATATGAATTATAACGGCATTTACGGTTACTTGGCAAAGTTGGCTTCATCGCGGGTGAGACGTATTGAAGTCTTAGGGTTCGAGCCTCCGTGACTTGATGCAGATTGTGGGCCGTTCCTAGCCAACTTTGACTTCAATTTTTGTTACCGCGCTCGCGTCAAGGTAGACATGGCAGGCGCATTTAAAGTGGAATCAGACCCAAGTTACTGCCATTAGACGATAAGAATGATCTTTATTCAAATCTACTCTCATGTCTAATCCAGTTCGATGCTGTTCCAAAGTACGAACTAGCTGAACCGCAAAATGCCTAGGCCTCAACCTCACACTGATCCCATCCAAACCGCCATCTCAGCATGGCTCACCTCTGTCAACCCTCCTGGGAACGCAGATTCTACGGCCTGGAAAATGGGCCTAGAAGAACATGCACCCAAGAGATTTACGATATACGAGCCCATGGCGCTTTTACCCGCCAGCAGCTTCACCAATGCCTCGTGGACCACCGAGCTCCAACGACACAACGGAGCGACCACCAACTTACTATGGGAGTTGATTCTGGAAAAACTCTCCAAGACTGGTAAGTCAGCCTTGCGATTGACACACTTAGCGGTCAACGAAGGCATCCCGCTACAAAGTCAAGACAGAACAGAGGAAAACATCATGCGCAGTCCGAGTGGCTTGCGAATTTTATACGGTGATTTTGGCCCCGGTGCCCCAAGCAGTATCCCACCCTCCAACGAGGATTTTGAAAAGGCATTTTGGGTATCTACCAAACAAAACGGGATATACCAAACGTGGGCGCCGCGTTGGACAATGTTCAGCAGAGGCAACGTCAAGGAGAAAACCCGCCTGCTCCAGTTCCCAGCGGCGCCTAAGAAGAGAAAGGATGACGATCAGTCACAAGATCCATGGGCGGTCGACTTATACGCCGGCATCGGATACTTTACTTTCTGTTACGCGAGACTGGGGTTCAGGGTGCTCTGTTGGGAACTTAACCCGTGGAGCGTGGAGGCTCTTCGTCGCGGAGCACACTTGAATAAATGGAGTGTCGAGATTATCGAGGGGGGGAAGCTGAAGCAATCTACAGAGGAGATTATGAACAGTACTGCTACGATTGTGGTGTTTTCGGAGAGCAATGAGAATGCGCGCTGGAGAGCGGAGGGCATGGAGCGGGAGGGGAAGTGGCTGCGCGACGTGAGGCATGTAAATTGCGGATTGTTGCCCACGAGTAGACTGACGTGGGATGTCTCACTATTTTTGACAAGGAATACGACAACTCGTGGGGAGGAGGCGTGGCTGCATCTTCATGAGAATGTGGGCGATGCTGAGATTGATTCCAGGAAGCACGAGATACAGACTGTGTTGAGAGAGAATCATGACGAGAAGAGTTTGACGAGAGCGATTACGGTGGAAAGGGTGGAAAAGGTCAAGACATACGCGCCTGGCGTATGGCATTGCGTGTTTGATGTACGTATTGTTACAAAACCTTCATGAAACATGTTAATACAGCAGTCCCCCCTCCATACCTATGCGCCACCGGTATATTATTTCCCCCCCCCCCCCCCCCCTTCCTTCCTAAAAGACCCCACCTTCCTAAAAGATCAATT